TCTAAAACATTTAAAGAAATTATCAATGCATCATTGTGCGGAAGCATCAATCCATATGCGTCTTTTTCCATGAAAATAATATCGTCCTCAGTGACTTTCCGGAGTCTCTTACTATGGGTTACTGACACCTTCATCTTTTTTGGCGCCGAAAATGTCATACTATTAATCTCGTTCCTCCCGAAAATCATGTTGATTGTCAAGAGGGGGGGGATCTTCTCCTGCTTTCGAAGGTTCTCCATTATCACGATTGTGGCCGTAGTTGTTTTTTGCACGGTCGCTTAAAAATGCTCTGAGATGGCCGTTTTTCAGCAATGTCGCCACCTCCTCGCATAGATGCCTACAATTCCATGGTATTCCCACCACATATTAGGATCCATTTGGCTGCGATCGGATCTCATTAGCTTCGGAAATCGTGTCTCCTTAATATTCCTCATAGTCGACACCAGCTCCACTACGCTGACGTTGAAGTTGTATTCGGAAAGCTTGGGGTAGGAAGAATCTCGAGAGACCGATGTCTCATTGTCCTGTAATGACCTATTATTTCGACTGAGTTTTCCTACTGGTAGCAAATCTATCCGCCGACCGAAAACCTCTGTCGCATCCTTCGATCCGCTCAAAGGGCAAAAATCGACCCCTTGAAGAACGTCGATCACTGTCGAAATCATCCTTCAATTTCTCCTTACTCTTTTACCGATCCAAGCCTTTGGTTGACGCCGAAAAGCCAAGTTGATCATCTTTAATTTTTATCTTTGTCACGACCCCAAACTGGGCCCACATATACATAATTAAACAGTCAAATGCCATACAAATAAGAAAGAAAAGCACATAAGGTTCGCCCCTCGGGAACAATGTCATCAACTACGCCCCTAAGGCAATATCTCAGAACAATACCAGCCCCTCAGACATTCACATAGAACAATACCAACCCCTCGGGCTATATCTCACATCACAATGGGTACCCGCGCTCACTAGGGGTGTATAGACTCCTGGAGGGTCCCCTTACGGCCCAAACGCAATATCAAGCCATCTCGTGGCATCATCTCTAGGCTCTCGATCTCATATCAACAAGCCACCTCGTGGCGTACATATCTCAGGCCCTCGGCCTGATAATCAAAATCAATATTTCACCACTACAGCTTGCAGCCTGACCCAAAAGATATCCTCACAACATAGGCCCTCGGCCATACTCAGTCAAAAATCACATAAGCCACTCGGGCAACAGTAAAACATGATGCTCAACCCAAAAATATTATTTGAAATATCATTTCAAGTGTTAAAGCAAAGTAAACATGACTGAGTTTTGAAAATAGTGGAAAATAACATAACTGAGTTCAAGTATAAAAGTCAAAACAGTGAGGAAATATCAACAAAATCCCCGAAGGGTTCAAATAGTTGGCACGAAGCCCAAATATGGCATTCAACCCAAATAATGATGATAGCAAATAGATTTCAGTCAAATACGCGGTAAAATCATCAATTGGGACAGACTAAGTCACAATCCTCAATAGTGCACGACCCCACGCTCGTCATCAAGCGTGTGCCTCACCTCAATATAGCACTACGATGTGCAATCCGGGGTTTCAAACCCTCAGAACATCATTTACAATCATTACTCACCTCGATCCGGCCCAAACTCTAGCCCGCGATGCATCGCCCGCACTAATTGACCTCTGAATGCTCCGAATCTAGCCACAATCAGTACATAATCATTAAAATATGCTAAGGGAACGAAGCCCACTCGAAAATATCCAATTTAACATCAAAATCCCGAAATTTATCAAACCCAGCCCCCGGTACGACACCTCAAAATCCGATAAAATTAACATCAATGGAATCCTCATCCTCTCACGAGTTCATACATATCAATAACATCAAAATCAAACCTCAATTGGCCCCTCAGATCCCCCCTCAAAGGTCTCTTAATCTCAAGCCCTAATTACCCATTTTTGCTACTGATTTTCCATGGATTTTTAGCTTACAATGTTGAAATTCATCATAGAAACAATATTAGGTTCCAAAAATCTTACCTCCATGAAATCCTTTTGAATTCCCTCTTCAATTAGCTCTCCCAAGCTTTCTCCCGGATGAAATATGGTGAAAACCCTCTCAAAATCGCGAGGGGTGCAATATATACTTTCTGCCCAGACATTTTTGCACATGCGGCCCAAATTCCGCTTCTGCGGTACCGCATCTACGGTCAAGACCACCGCAACTGCGGTCCTCACTTAAATTACCAAAACCGCATCTGCGCCTCCGCAGGTGCGGTCCCACAACCACATCTGTTGTTCCTGCCAACGTCACCAGCTTTCTCTTCTGCGACCAATTCTCCGCATATGTGGCATCGCATCTGCAGTCCCCAATCCGCAGGTGCGAAAATACCAGAAGCAGAAAATCTGCAACTTCTTCAAAAATTCCAAACTCTCCGTCAACCATCCGAAATTACCCCGAGGCCCCCGAGACCTCAACCAAAAGCACAAGCATAACCCATAACCTTATTCAAAGTTATACCAATCTTCAAAACACCTCAAACAACATCGAATCAACCAAAACACATCGGATTCAAGCCTAAGATTCCAAAATCTTTCCAATTCCGCTTTTGATAAAAAAACTCAACCAAACCACTTCCAAATGACCTGAAATTTTGCACACACATCCCAAATGACACAACGAAACTACTGAAACTTCCGGAATTCCATTCCAATACCTATATCAAAATCTCACCTATCAATCGAAAATGCCAAAATCTCAATTTTGCCAACTTAAGCCTAAACCTTCCACGGGCCTCCAAAATGCATTTCGATCATGCTCTTAAGTCCCAAATCACCTAACGGAGCTAACCAAATCATAAAAATTCTGATCTGAGATCATATACCAACAAGTCAAATCTTGGTCAAACCTTTCAAATTTCAAGCTTCAAACTGAGAATTGTTCTTCCAAGTTCATTCCGATTACCCTGAAAACCAAAACCAATGATTTGCATGAGTCATAATACATCACACAGGGCAAGTCATGCCCGAGAACTGGGGAGCAAGATGCAAAAGCTCAAAACGACAGGTCGGGTCGTTACAATCTTTGACTCGTACTAGTTTTAAACATCCGCCTGTATTGTTGCTTGGAAATCGAGCAGACTTTCTTTCAACTTCAAGGAAGCATCGGAAGTTCTCGGTTTCAACCCTTTAGTAAATGCTTTTGTTGCCCATTCGTCTGGCACGACCGAGAGCAATATCTTTTCTTTTTGCAATCAGGTTACGAACTCTCTCAATAATTCGGACTCTTCTTCTGCAATCCTGAATATGTCGGCCTTTCAAGCCTGTAGCTATCTGGCCCCGGCATGGGCCTTAATGAAAGAATCCGCGAGTATCTCAAAGGAATCTATGGAATGTTTGCGCAAGAGTGAATACCATGTCTGGGCCCCCTTCGTGAGGGTCTCTCCGAATTTCTTTAGTAAGACTGATTCAATCTTGTGGGGAGCCATATCGTTTCCCATCACTGCTGTTGTGTAAGTGGTGATATGCTCCTGAGGGTCTGACGTCCCGTCATACTTCGGCACATCTGGAATTTTGAATCGCTTTGGAATCAACTCTGGTGCCACGCTCGGTTTGGACGGTAGTTGGGTGTACTTCTTTGAATCAGGTCCTTTCAATACTGGTGGTGCACCCGGAATTTGATCTATTCTGGCGTTTATTTCCTCATAAACTGCACGAGTTCGGTTTTAAAGGGATCATTCTCATTGTTATTACAAGATCCGCTACCGTTCCCACTGGCACTATCAAAGCTGACTTCGCTCCTCGAGGTATTGTTATCGACCCTCTGCGTTGTTTAAATTTGCGAGAGCACCGGAAGGAACTAGACCTCATCCATTCGCGTTGGTAGAAGAACCCGACAACGCCTGCCTTAATTCCATCATGACCTCATCCTATTGCGAGAGATGGACCATAATGACCTTTCGTTGCTTCCTCAGGATCCTTATTGTTTCAACGACATGCTCGTCTTCAGCATCATTAGGAGTCACCTCTCAAATATGTCCCAGATATTACCTGCCATGGACCAACGTGGCTTCGTCCCCCTCGTTGCAGGTATCACTGATGGAATCTTCATGCTGAGACTGATTTCCTTGGGCCTCAACATTGTGTGCAATATTGACTTCGTTATCTTCCATTTTTAATGATTTTTGCTAAGAACAAAGAATCAAACAAGTTAGTAATCGATGCAAGGATCAATTCAGTTACACAATTGTTTAAACCCCACGGTAGGCGTCAAATTATTTATCTATAAAACGGTACAATTGAATTCATACGTGGTTTATAGACAAGTGAATCAATTTGATCCTAAAATAACAAATAAATTAGAAAAAAAATGTAAAAGACTTAGCGTTGAAATCGAGATGGGACAATAGAGATCTTGAGATCAGGACCAGAACTTCCAAAGGCAGTAAGAGCAATATAAATACGCAATAAAGTAAAATGTTATTGAGCTTTGAACAAAGTATATCATATGCTTGTCAGAAAATCCGTGTCCTTTACAATGATGGTAGAGCTCATTATTTATAGTTGCACCTAGGGAACAAGGTCCTAGGATCAAGTGCCTCTTAAATGACAATTATGAGGGCCATTGAAGAATGTCTAACGCTAGGCAGTAAATGCCATATTTTCTTTAACAGACCGTGCACTTAATGCTATAGAATATTCTTCATTAAATGCCACCGGAGGGCAAACATTTATTTCAATTTTATGGATATCATTCTATCCAATAACAAGCAAAATCATTGTTTTCGGACCCAACTGTCTTCTGTCTTCGACTCTACGTATCACTTTCTCATACGATCATTAAATATAAACCTATTTTACCCTATATAAAGATACATAAATTGAAAAGAACGACATAACGCGAAAGTTTTCTGATAATATTTGAAATACAAGAGAACACCCAAACCCAATGATATTAAATTCAAAGGTTTCATGAGCATTAGAAAACAAGAAGGCTAAGAAATACAAAGAGAACACCCAATGATAATTAAAGCGACTTCATTCAAACGCGAAGTCAGATAATTGTGAAGAAAAATGACTAAAACATCAATCTTTAGCGTCTTCGTGCGGCGGTTTCTCGCTGTGCATTGAAGAAAACAGCAGCAACAGGTTGGCCAAGATCATTTTCTTCAGCAAAATTTCTAGTGTTGAAGTGATCCCTTGAAGTAGGAGAGCTAACTGATTGTCTTCGTTTTTGCTTGAAAAGTACAAATACAAACCTATGGATTCCAATATTTGGCATTGGAATCTCATAGCTAACCAATTCTCGTCCTGTTTTTAGTATAAATATTAAACATATTATATGTTAATAATCACCCTAAGAGTGAGTAATAACAAAGGGGTGTATAACTCTAGTAGGAAATATTAATAGACAATATTAAAAGGGCAGCGCGTGAAGGGGAACCTTGGTGTAACCGGTAAAGTTATTGTCATGTGACCAGAAGATCATGGGTTCGAGCCGTGGAAACAGTTTCTTGCAGAAATACAAGTAAGGTTGCAAACATAGACCCTTGTGGTCTGATCCTTTTTCGGAACCCGCGCATAGCGGGAGCTTAATGCACCGGGCTACCATTTTTTTATATATTAATAGGGTAGCACGGTGCAGAAGGCATCTCGTGTTCATGCATTAGCTAGTTCGGAGAAGGAACGCACTCAAAGAGTGTAATGTAAACAACATACTCTAATACAACTTCCACAATATTATATAAAGAAATACCAATTGTCCTAGCAAGTTCTCTAAATTTTTTGGTATGTAAATTTCTAATAAGATTAAAAGACTCCTAGCTAGCAAAAATTAGATTAAAGTAAATGTACTAGAATAACTAAAATGCAATCCCAACTAAATAGTATCGCCAATATAGATCTTTAATTTTTTTTTTATTGTATCCTACTTTTAGCTTCGTCTACATGAATTTCAAAAATTTATAGACCTTTCGGGACAATTTCGTTTCATGTGATTTAGGTCTATTATATCACCATTTAATATGTGATATAATACTTTAACTTACCATGATTTAACATATATAGAATGGTACCTCTTGTTATCGATGTGGGACATGATCAAAATATCTTAAGTGACTTCTCAATTTATTATTTACATATGCTTCTTGCACCTTCTACCAAATATAATAAAATCCTAATTTATCTAATCTTATATGACTAGACACATTTATCTTGGGACCCGTTGTTCCTAAAGTTTTTCCTTTTTTTAATCTTTTTCAAAATAATGTTTGGTTATACATTGGACGGAAATTTTTAAAAATATTCTTGAAGATGAGTTTCCAAAAAATCACTTTTTTATGTATATGAAAGTTTATTTTCCTTACAAAACTGCAATGCTTTTCAATTTAAATGTATATCCACAATTTCAAATTCTAAATATTTTCTTTTTCAATTTAACTCAAAAAAACTTACTTTTTTTTTTATGTCCAAACGATTGTTTAGTTTCTACATTTTTGTGACACTCATCAAGTGGACATGTTCGACTTTAGAAGTCCAACATTCACTACTATACAAAATTGTTGATCTTATAATTATTCTATATAACTAGCTAGACAAAATAAGTGAATAATAGAAAAACTTCTTTTATCTTCACATGTGCTTGTAATTTTGCAGAAGATACAGAGAACTTACCAAAAGTAGCATCAGTGGTACCTGGAATGTCAGTTACTATCCTGTCAAATAGTCAGTAAAAATAGTTCCAATTAATCATGATCTTCTCATATTTGTAGATTTTTACATATTTTTTCTCATTTTCTATTTTTTTTTTTTTAAAAAAAATTGAGTTTAGGGCATACCAGTGGAGATGCTCTCTTAGATAAGGATCACTAGGGCCAGGAACATCAGGGTCTGTCATGACCTACATATTCGAAAATTAATATAAGTTTTATGTACTGACGATGCGAAAAAATAACAATCAAATCACTCCAAAGTAAATTACAGGCACTCTATTTAATATAGTATCGACTGGAAAACTAAATTAACTGTAATAAGTTATAACATGCTATAACACGTTGAAGTTTTTTTGGTTTGTCATCCAATGCCCGATACCCGCTTTGAGGTTTACTAATCTGGATTCACGGCGGAAAGTTTTGGGGGTAAAGGATCCCTACCAAAGACGACTATATTCCTAGGGCTATAACTTGAACCCGAAACTTCTGATTAAGGATAGAAGGATATTTACCATCCCACGACAGCCTTTGTGGTTATATATAACATGTTAAATTAATATAACTTGTAATGGTGAGCAAGCCTCTTGCATAAATGCAGGGTAAGGTTGCGTACAATAGACCCTTATGGTTCGGTGCTTCACCGAACCCCGCGCATAGCGGGAGTTTAGTGCACCGAACTGCTTTTTTTTTTTTTAAAGAAATAATGGGAACTTGATGATCTTGGAAATTAAGTAGAAATCAAGAAAAAAATACCAATGTGAAGAAAGTTCTCAAATCTCCCCCTTGAACTTCAACTTTAGGTCTAGCAGTGACAACAGAAGGAAGGAGTTCATGGCCATTGCACACTAATTTGTTGTTATATGATATTGTCATTTTCATTATAGGACTAAATGAATCAAGAACATCTCCTACTACTCTCCCAACAATTAGAGGCTCTAAACTTCTTGCCATAATAAAGAAAATTAGACAGAGATAGAGATAAGGAAAAAAAGAGAAATTTTCAAAGACTTAAGAATGGTTTGTATTGGATACTTGATCAGATGGACACCTTATAT